ATATAAAATTAGACTAATATGTATATATATATATATACATATATATATGTATGTACATATATATAAAAATTGTAAAGATACGTTATATAACTGATACAAGAGTACTGTACTACTATACTAAACTAACATATCATATACATATAGTACATATATGTATATACATACATATTGTACTCTATATTCGCTTTGTATACATTCTTAACAAATTTACTGGGTATACATACGTATGTATGTACGTACATACAATCATATAAAATTATGCTCGAGTCAATAAATTCAATGAAATATAGTTATGCACTTAAAATAATTTAAGACATGTTTATTGAATCATTTAATACAATAACATAGTATGTATGCTTACCCTACTATAGTTGCCATATGCTGCTCGCTTTACTCGCAGCTAGGCAGCAGTCTCACAAAGCGTAAATCTAAAAAAATCCTAGCTTTTAACAACATTCTCAACAGGAATGTTTGTTACTACAAAAAACGATGTATCATTTAACATTATAAAAGATAAATTTTAATTTGACACAACAAGGATAGATTTTATACTGCAAATCAAAAATTCTATCCTTGTTGCTAGGCTATATTCACTAAAACAAAAAAAAAAATCTCAAATAGGAATTCATACAAGAATGAACAAAAAAGACTTATCATTAATACTTATCTAATATTGAGTGGATGCATACGACTTCGTTCTATTACCTAACAATAAAATAAATTAACTAAGCTATCAAAATTATAACCAATAATTATGATTTTGATAGCAACTACGATTTCAAACAGAATATACACAATGTAAATTGTTACATAATTCAGAATCAATGCTTTGCAATTTGAAATGTGCTATACTATGTCATATAGTATTACTATATTGTTATTTCTGCTTCTTACAAGTGCATGAATTGTGCCCTACTCCACTACATAAATTGCATATATATTTTCTTTTGCCTTTATGGCACAATTCATTCACATTGTTATCTATAATATAACTATTCAAATCTATATTTAAAGGAGGCATTTCTAAGTTTGGATCTTGAAGATTAGTCACACTATGTACCAATTTTTTATAATTATAACTCTCAGAAGAGCTTTTCAACTGCTTAATCGGTGGCTGTTCATAATGTTTTACAACTAAAGGATTCATCACAATTATCTGTTGAGATTCACCAGATTGAATATTTTTATTGTTAATATTTTCAATTGCAGACTTTTTCTGATTAATAAAGCTAGACATAACATAGATTAGCTCTTCTTCACATCCAAGATCCAAAGCAATATTGAGTGCCTTCTTTATTCTTCCAAATCTATTTGCATATTTGGCCTTTTTATTAGCTGCTTGTTGATTCTTTACAATATATGTATTAGTATCTCTAATTTTTTCTATAATATTAAAATCTAGAATAGCTATCTTGGTAGCTGTTTGCTGAAATGTTATTGAAATCTTAATGCTTTGCAGCTGTAAGTCTTCAAGCCTTATATCCTGCCGATCATCATAATTCTAACATTTTGCTACTAATATGATATGAAACTTTGCTGCTTTAGTATTCATCATCACTTGAAAAAAGTGTAAACATATAATACCACAATTGATTATTGTCATGCAAGTATATAAGTATTCACCATCACATAATAACACGACGTAGTGTTTGTAAACACTTGATAGGCATATAAGTTCCCAAATTTCAATTATATCACTTAGATCAATATCTTTAATTAGAGCAATAATAGAGTTTTGTGGCCTGTCGAGTTGATTCTCTAAAAAGCCATTATCATAATCCAATTGGAGATTTTCCTAATAATAAAAAAAAAAAACTAAAGCTTAATGCATGCTATAAATTTTACTAAACCACAAAGAAAAAACAATTATTAGACCTGTAATTCTAGAATATCTTTCATTGGTCATAATTGCACTCTATATAAAAGTGAACCAGCAATTTGCTATAGTTGTATAGCCAATATATGGAAAGTCAAGTACAACTTTAATATATTAGAAACTTGCAAAAATAATAATTCAACAACTGATGGCATTTGACTAGTAGGTAAAGAATTCATATAACTATAATGTCATGCCCACTAAGCCTCATTATTTAAAAGATTCTGTATATGTTCATGTAGGCTATGCAAAGAGAGTGTACTCCTAATACCATCTTTGATAAATCGATTTATTACTTCAACACACTAGGTGCTTTGGACACCTGCTGTAAAGCAACTTAGTTGGTAAAATCGAGCCCATGATCTTATACTTCCTTGCAATGTTCTATTAAAATAATTTTGTATTTGGGAATACTTATTTAATAACTGTAACCATTTTCTATTAAAATCTTCCTCGAACGTGCTATTTCGCGTATGCAAAAACTCCTTATAAAATTCATCATATCTATTACCAAGTTTATATCTCAAATTTTTACAGATATTCTCTTGTATGTAAAATATACATAAAAAATGACATGTTGTAGGTAGTTTTAGAGCAATAGCGCTGCTTAACGCTGGCTCAGCATCGGAAAATAAAACTACAGGTGGTGTATTATCTGTTGCATTCAAAAGATATTCAAGAAACCATTCGTATGACTCAGTAGTTTCATCATCAGATAATGCTTGAGCTACTAGTCGACTCTTTGTATTATTATCAATAACTACTAAAAGAGTAAGATACATGTCAAACCAATTCGTCTTACAAGTGTTGTCAGTTTGAACTACATCAATATAACATATCAAATATTGTTGTTGCATCGGGGACATCCAGAACAGTCCTGTAAGGCGATTATCATATGGATCTATCCTAAAATTGACAATCCAACCAGGTTCTTGGTGTTTTAAATACAACAAATAATCAATGAATTCTTGTGCTTCTTCTTGATGTTGATTGAGTAGTCTTTTAACCTTTTGAATGGCATTATAAAGATCATATTTGTGAATAATATGATCAGGAAATTCAGAAGTTAAAAGAGGTAGCATTTGCTTAGATCCTATTTTTCCTTTTGTAATATAGAATTTTATTTTTTCTAAGATTTCTGATGATAATTTTCTATACTTTGAAGCATATAGCCCAATGTCAGATTGCAGCTAATGATTATGCTCCCCTATTATACTCGTGATAATTACAACTGCAGATTCCTTTGGTTTTGATAAATTTATGTGCCATAGGCACGATATCTTTCCTGAACTTCTATTATGTTGCTGTGAAAGGTCAACAACCTGATTACTAACACATTCCCCAGAATGCGTACACTCAAATATATGTCATTTAACCTTGCTGTTATTATTGAATTCTACTCTTTTTCAACATAGGGAGAAACCTTTAGCTTTTGCATAACTGTTGAGTTGCGCTTCAGCTAAATCCCATGACAAAAATGAAGCATCTACTGAAATTTGAAGATCTTGTTTGTTGCTTTGCTCTATTTCTAATGGTACACATATTTCTGGTTCCACACCCATACTATTTGTAGGTTCTAAATCTATCAATGAGCTATTTAAAGATTCTAAAGAA